ATGTTGGCACATAATCTGCTGCACACATCAGTTTTCTGTCTGGATGAGTGTGTGAGGTAGGCCCTGGTTTCATTAATTAATGATGCCAGCTCTGAATAGCCAGAGATGCAGGAAGGAAAAATGTGTTATGCATGGCAGAGTTTGCAGGTTCTTTGCATTATTTCAGTTCAACACACTAAAAGCTCAAAAATGTCTCCTGAAACAGTATTGCAAGTTGCAGGGAGGGGGGTGGTCAAGTCAGAAATGCCTCCTAACCTGGTTACCCTGATTGTTAAATATTCTGGATTAGTGCATGTGGGGGGAAGAGGATATTGAGTAAAGAGGTCAAAGTCAGTTGGACAAATTTAGCCTGACATTTAGTCACTCAACTCCTTTAGACACTATTGTGACAGTGCCAGCTGAGATGTCCAATGCACCATTGAGCCCAGTGTTGTAGGATCAGATCCAGTTAATGTGGACAGCATACTCGCATTGGTGCCTGCTCATTAGATCCTCATCAATCCTGGATTATTAAAGTTAGCAGAGTGAAGTGACTGAATGGGTCACAGGTGTGGTAAATGCATCTTTGCATGATGGTGCACTGCCTGCACCCATTTCTTTAAAAGCTCACTCTAGACCAGATGGCGTGTAAGAACTGCACACTGGTCACCAAAACCCTTTTTTTGGCAAAAGTGATGGGGTGTGTGTGGAGCAACTGCAGGTATTCCTGGATGAGACTACGGTAATTACCTAGATCCGCTTCAATCTGGCTTCAAAACTGAATAATAAATAAGTTTAGATCCTCATGGTTTATGAATTAGTTTGATTGGCTTGATGGGCCTTAATCTCTGGCCTTTTAGATGAGAAAGAGGCAGACAGGGACTGTTCTGGAAGGAGGCCTACCTTGGGATGTGCTAATTCAGAGGTCTGTATAAAATTCAAGGTCACAACCACACCATACCTTTAAAGCAGCAATATACCACTATAATTGTTGTGACTTTCTCCCGAAGAATCCTGGGAATTGTAGATTGCAAAGAGTGCTGAGGAGACCTCTACTCCTCTCACCCAGTGCTTTTTTTTCTAGGAAAAAAAGTTGCAGAACTCACCAACCCAGATGATGATGCCAACCACCATCTTGAAATGAAAATCACATGACAACCTGCTGGGCTTGCCGCTGGCCCTCCCGCTAAAACCGCTTTGGCTGCCATCATGCCCATACGCACCTCACTGCACCCCCTCCTTCAGGCTGCTACAGCTGCCATCATGTCTGTGCTCACCTGGCGACTTGCCCCCACTCCACCCACTAAGGCCACTTCAACCACCATCCTGCGCACCTTGCCTGCTCCGGTCTTCCTTTGCTACCTGAGTGGACTTCTTGGACACAGAAGGGCAAAAAAGGTTGCAGAATTGTGCTCTGGCATGTTCTTGCAAAAACAACAGCAACAACAACTGCCCCTTACAGAGCTGTAATTCCCAGTGTTCCTTAGGGAGAGGGATTTATTTGTTGATTCACTCTGGGAATTGTAACTCTGAGAGAAGAAAGGGGGCTTCCTTAACCATTTTCAGCATGCTTAACAAATTAGAGTTCATGCCGAAGGTCAGATAACTAATTGGATCTATGAGAGGTTTTGTTTACTGTATTCTTGCTGGTGTGCCCAGGCAACCCCAACCTCACCGCCACCTTGTCCTTCTTGGTGTGTGGCAAATGCTGCCATGGCTAGAAGGCCATGGCTCTGGCCATGCCCCACTGGGCAAGATGCTTCTGGCATGGCCAGTGCTCAGAGTACAAGGGAGTTGCAGTCCAGCAATATCTGGAGGGCTGCAGGTTCCCTCCCTTTGCCACAATCTATTGATGTTCTGGGCTTCATGACCACTATAGGTGGGATCATAATAGTAATTCTTTGGCTACATCATCACTCCCCAGCTCTCACCATAGCTGTAATATGTAATCCAGAAAGTAAAAATGCCACACACAATTAACTCATAAGCCCTTCATGCATCATTTTAAAATGGAAATAAAAGAAGCAAATAGCATATTTTTCTTGTTTCGGCACTGCAGTTGAAAAAGACCTCAAAGGATTTTAAATGGTGTGGGAGGAGAAATAAGCCTAATTATCTTGGAGCACAGCTTCCTTTGTTTTAATTTCCTTTGGGGGGGAGGGGGGTCATTTAGCAAAAAATGAAATGAAAGTTGCTGGTTGAGAAGAGAGCCTTGGCCAGAAGATAGCAGAGCAGGGAGCCCTCATTTATTTTTAGGACCTGCTCCATATAGTATGAAAGAAGAAGTTGACAGCACAATCCTCTGTTACTCAGAAGGAAATCCCACAGAGTTCAGTGGCGCTTATTCTCAAGTAAACATGTTTAGGATTTCAGCCTTAATTTATTATTATCCAGCACTGAAGTCAATTCGGAATCACAAGAGTACAGGCTATTACAACACTGAGAATGGTGGATAAGAGAAGTAAGAAGTGGCTCATTGTTGCGTTCTGAGGCCAAAGGAAGGACTGGACCCTGATTAAAATGAGACACGAGGCTTTGACCAGCAAGGCTCTCGGAGGGAGTGCGTACACCACACCCCTCACCAGGCCATTTTATTAGCAAAAGAATCCTTTACACAGTGCTCGTAAGAACCAATCAAATTTCCTTGGAGCATTCAAACAAACCTCAAGTGGGGACAAAATTAAACTATAAACACTAGTTAGGCATACATACTTTTGGGTAAATGAATGAATACTACAAAGGAGTGAATACAGCAACCCCGGAGGTCATAAACAATCAGTACACATGATATGAAGGATGGCCAGGAGGACAGAGACCATTATCACCTTAATGTGAAACCTGTTTCCTTGCCCTAAGATTAACATCCTAAGATTAATATATAAGAAAGCTACTTCAAAGAAACTTGCCCACTATCTTTGATGACCCAGGAGCCTGCCTGTCTAAGCAACTGGGCTGTGTACGTGACAAGAGAAATGGGCAGTAGAGGAAATGGCCAGAGATGCAGAGGTGTAGATTGATCAAGACTCATATCAAAATACCGTATTTTTCTCTCTATAGGACTCACTTTTTCCCCTTCAAAAATGAAGGGGAAATGTGTGTGCGTCCTATGGAGCAAAGACGCCATAGCCCCGCGACCCTCTCCCGGCTGGAGAGGTGACGCGCAGCTATGGCAGGAGCCTCTATAGCTGCGCGTCACCTCTCCAGCCGGGAGAGCGCGCACGGGGCTAAAGAAGCACCCCGCAACCCTCTCCTGGCTGGAGAGGTGACACGCGGCTATGGCAGGATCCTCTTTAGCCGCGCGCCACCTCTCCAGCTAGGAGAGCACGTGAGGGGCTAAAGAAGCCATAGCCCCGCGACCCTCTCCCAGCTGGAAAAGTGACGTGCGACTATGGCAGCAGCCTCTCCGCTGCGCCTTTCCGCTGCTCCCTGACCTGCTCTTTGGGGCTGGTGGTGGGCTTCCCCCCGCCAGCCCCAAAGAGCAGGTCGAAAGGAACCTGAAGCCTGGAGAGCAAGCTCTCCAGGCTTCCAAGGTAGCCACCTGAACGCACCTTAAACGGCACCTTGTTTTAGAGCGGGAAAACAAGAGGGGGAAAATTCTCCCTCTCTCTGCGCAGCGCCTCCTGCCGCTTCGCTGAAGGGGCGCTGGGCAGAGAGGGGGAGAATTTTTTTTCTTGTTCTCCCCCCTCTAAAACAAGGTGCATCCTATTGTCCGGTGCGTCCTATGGTGCGAAAAATACAGTAGTTTAAACCCAGTCAACGCAATGCTTTCATTGCTGACAGAGATGGCTTACTCTATATTTGTTATAATTCCTCATAGCAATCCCACCTGATCACTACACTCATGACCAGCCTGAAGAACCACACATGCACACCAGATTGATCTTGTTTGGACAGTCCTGTCCAATTTCAGTCTGGCGTTAATCTGATGTCATTAGGTTAATTTCTCACTGGATGTTCAGCAATAATGGGTTGTAGCAAACTAAGTTATAATCAGAGCAGACCCACTGAAATTAATGGATCTGAGCTAGCTGTGGCCAATGGGTTGGCTCTGAGCTGGACTACCATTGCATACAGCCCACTGATCCTATCATGTGTTGATGAAGTCATTGACATGCATCTGGGCTTCAGTCTGTGCTCCCAAATGGCTTGGATTGCCCTCCCCATTAAGTTGGGGAGGAGAAATTGTGATGGCCGCAGGGCCTGCTACAAGGAATGAGTTCAATACTTCAAGCAGAGGGTGGACGAACATCCATTGGGGTGCTCTTGCTCAAGATTTCCTGTAACATTCAGAATATTGGCCCAGATTGTCTTGAACCTTTTTAGATCTGGGACCCATATTTAACCCAAACATGTATTTAGGGTACCTAGGGCATCACACTTATTGATGTATCATATTTACAGGGTAGTAATCCTGCTGCTGTGACACACCTTGGATCAGACTGTGACCCAGTGATGGTTCCTAACTCACCAAGATGAAGACCAGGGGACTAATAACAAGGTTTCTTCCTCCAACCCTATACAGTATCTCCCTGGAAGCATAGAATGACAGAGAGCCCCCCCACTCTGTGCCCCCAACCATTGTTCAAAACCAAAACAATAAAGGAGATTTTGCAGCAGCCCCCAAAATGTTAACTTGGCATGTGAAATGAGAAGGGCATTTTTTAGGATGATTTGCAGATGATCAGCAAAACAGATATCCCCGTGTGACATTCAAAGGAAAGTAATGATCTCTGCCATATGCTTAAGGACTGATTTGTTTTACTCAGCCCCCATGAGTGGCAGGGGACAAGGAGGGTAGAAAGATAATGTTAGCATTGGAGACAAAGCAGTTTCTGAACCATCTGGTGTGAGACACTGTGCTCCATTCCTAGGAAGAGGATGCACACTTCCATAGAAGAATCAGTGACTTGCCATCAAGGATAGGGCTTCTGATCAAACCCACTTCCATTACTGTTTCTCAGAGGTCGTCCCCCCCCCCTTCATTACGATGACAGGCCCTGCTGAAAAAATGTTATGAAAGCGCATAGCTCAGTGGCAGAGCATCTGTCTGGTTTGCAGAAGGTCCCAGGTTGAATCCTCAGCATTTCCAGGTAGGGCTCAGAGAGACCCATTGTCTTGCCAAATGCAAGGTGATTCTTGTGTGAAGGATTCAGAAGCAATATGAAACACAAGTGGGTGAGAAGAAGATTTTATTCCTAAATAGCAAACAATATACAGTGGTACCTCGGGTTACATACGTTTCAGGTTACATACGCTTCAGGTTACAGACTCCGCTAACCCAGAAATATTACCTTGAGTTAAGAACTTTGCTTCAGGATGAGAACAGAAATCGTGCTCCGGCGGCGCGGTGGCAGCAGGAGGCCGCATTAGCTAAAGTGGTGCTTCAGGTTAAGAACAGTTTCAGGTTAAGAACGGACCTCCGGAATGAATTAAGTACTTAATCCGAGGTACCACTGTACATACATACCAGGACATGTACTTCTATCTGCCACTTTCTTGTTGTTGTTGTTTAGTTGTTTAGTCGTGTCCGACTCTTCGTGACTCCCTGGACCAGAGCACGCCAGGCACTCCTGTCTTCCACTGCCTCCTGCAGTTTGGTCAAACTCATGCTGGTAGCTTCGAGAACACTGTCCCACCATCTCGTCCTCTGTCGTCCCCTTCTCCTTGTGCCCTCCATCTTTCCCAGCATCAGGGTCTTTTCCAGGGAGTCTTCTCTTCTCATCAGGCGGCCAAAGTACTGGAGCCTCAGCTTCACGACCTGTCCTTCCAGTGAGCACTCAGGGCTGATGTCCTTAAGAATGGAGAGGTTTGATCTTCTTGCAGTCCATGGGACTCTCAAGAGTCTCCTCCAGCACCAGAATTCAAAAGCATCAATTCTTCGGCGATTAGCCTTCTTTATGGTCCAGCTCTCACTTCCATATATCACTACTGGGGAAACCATAGCTTTAACTCGATGGACCTTTGTCGGCAAGGTGATGTCTCTGCTTTTAAAGATGCTGTCTAGGTTTGTCATTGCTTTTCTCCCAAGAAGCAGGCATCTTTTAATTTCGTGACTGCTGTCACCATCTGCCTCATAAAGTGGCGAAGTGACTCTCCTGGGTAGCCTTGGATTGCACAGCCCTGCAGCTGATCAGTCCATGCATGAGCTTCTCAGTTTCTCTGTTCAAACCGTCTGATTTTATAGGTAGCCACCTCCTTTCAATGCCCCATGCTCCAATAACAATTTCCAACAACAAAGAAGGTTCCCAGCATCAATGGCGGAGGAAGGGGGGTGCAGTGGGTGCGGTCCGCCTGGGTGTCATCCCTGGGGGGGAGGGTTTGACATCACCACTGCCCCGGGATGCTTGCCGTGGGCGACGCTCCTGTGGGACACTTGCCGCCTCTGCCCAACATTGTTTTCCTGAACTGATTCAGGCAGCTGTGAGTTGGGCTTCACCAGCTCTCAGTTGATTAGGACATCAAAAAATGGTTCTTTCACCATCAAAACTTAACACAAGGAGGGAGGGAGAAGGAACAGAGGCAGGAAGGGTAACCATGTTAGAATCACTACCTCCTTGATATACAATAGGTCTTCTGGTTGGGTTTTCCAATACACCCATGTCTGAAATTCCAGGTAGCAGCTGCAAGTCAGGGTAGACAATATTGAGCTAGATTGACCAATTGGGTCTACAATGACTGGCAGAAGTTCTCTGGGGTTTCAGGCAGGAGTCCTTTCTGCCTTACCTGAAGATGCTGGGGATTGAGCTTGGCTCTTCTGCATTCAAAGTATATTTTCTTACCACTGAACTATGACTCTTCCCAGCTTTCTTTCCAAGAACTTCCTAAATTTAACTGACCTTATCATCCAGGTGGCAACTCTTGCCCCAAGTTGCTGTGGTCTCTCAAAATAAAAGGCTCCATTATACTGTGCTGATTGGGACTGACAGGAGTTGTAGTCCATCAGGTTGGTTAATGCTTCTTTATCCCCTGACACATTCCTGATGTAGTGCACACCTTCCACCCACAAGATATATGCCTACTGAATGTTTTCCTCAACAAGGTAAATAAGTCCCTGATACAATTTGCCTCCTCACGCCCCCCTTAAAGACAGAACCAATTACAGAAGAGACAGATCCAGTCATACTTCTACAACATCTTCTCTAATTTGATTCCAATCCATTGCAATCCTAAATGCGCTTGAAAATACTTTCAATATTAATTGAATCCATAAGTCCAATTAATGTCGCTGGGACTAGTTTCTAAATAAAGATGCACAGGATCAGACTCACTTGTCCTCAAATTCTTTTTTATGGCCCAGAATCCTTGAATATTTGACCCAACCCTCCTCATTCCCCCCCCCAAAAAAGTGTTGCTTTCAATGAAATTCAGTAGCAATTCTTATTTATTATTTCGCTGGATTATTGTGAAGATACAATGAAACCAAGAGAGGGAAGGAATCTAAATAAATCACATATATTGGTTCCATTGGTTCCATCTGCTAAGATAAAAATATGGTTCATAGTGAAACAGATGTTTTGAGCCTCTTATTCCAATTACATTATTTATTGACAGGTAGCAGATGGCAGTGTTTTCTCCATGAAATTGGCAGTTTAATTGGATATGCATCTATTAAATAAAGAGGTTGATACACAACCTGTCAGCATTCTGCTGCAAAGAGTTATCTTCAAAGCAACTCTATGCCTCCATGACAGTTGCCATATTAGATCCATACTCTTCTGATTCTGATCCATATAGCAGGAGTGGGGAACCTTTTGATCCTGAGGGCAACATCCCCTTATGACCAGCCTTCTAGAGGTCCAATGGCAGTGCTGAATATGGCATAGGAATAAAGAAGCAGTCTTTTTTGAGTCAGACCATTGGACCATCTAGTTGTCCAGGGTTCCAGACAAGGGTCATTTCTGAGCCCTGCCTGGAGATTGAACTTGGGAACTTCTGTATGAAAAACATACGCACTACTACTGAGCTACGTCCATCCCCCAAAGTGGAGCAATTGGGGGGAGGACACGGCAGAGCTGTGCGTGGAAGGGAGCCCTCTCTTCATCATTTGAACCTCATAGAAAACTCAGCAAACCTGCTACACCTGGACCTGGGTGTGGAGAGTGAAGCTGAATGGGACACAGCTGTGGACAGCCTGGGGAAATACCATCCACCTTGGACCTACTCATAAAAAGCAAGTCTAGAGTGAGAGAGTGGGGTCATGTCTGTTGTTTTGAGGAACTCTTCTTGCTGTGAGACTTTTGTGGGTGAGTTGAGAGTTTGTTGGACCCTGGGTGAGAACCTGGAAGCTGAGTGGGAGTGTGTGCAAGAAGAAAAATGGAATGATATTGAGTTATATAATATTGGTATTAATGTTACTTTTTATATGTAGCTGACTATTTGCAATATTTTGTATAAGTTGTCTGTTGTTATTTCAGTTTTATGTAACCACTTAGAGATATTTTTAGTATATTAAAATATAGTATAGAAATTAATCAGTCAAAATTAATCAGGGTTGTTATGATGAATGTTAATCTTATCTTTGCACTACATTCCAGCTGTGCAAACGGTTTCTACGCACACTACTCCATCCAGGTAAGTAAAACACTCTTATTCATCCCTAACTTATCTCCATGAATTTATGAATTTTCTTATGGAGTTCTTGAATCAATGTGTTAAAATGCATATATTAGTGGAAAGTGTGCATAAAATTAAAATAGTGTGTGTTGTATTGGGGAAAATGATTTGCAAAAATGAATGAGTGTGTGTGTGTATTAATTTATTTTATACATTTTCCACAATTTATATATATATATATACATCAAACATTGTCATTTCTCTTAGGAGTTCCCAGTCCATCTCTCCATGGCATTCTATTCATATCTTATTTTGCTGCATATCCTGTTATTCCACCCCATTTCATCACCGATATTTCCTTCACTGATGTTAACTGCTGCTCATATACTTACTCCTACTTGTAGGTTAATTTGAGAGTTATATCTCATGTGATACTCTCCAAAGTACTTCCACTTGTCTTATCTGTGTCTTGTCCTGGTTTCTTATTTTTACAGTCACATTTGCTAAATCTGCATATTCTATCAATTTGTTCTACCATACTTTTTTTTGTTGGTATTTCTTTTTCTTTCCCTTTTTTTGCATCTACTATTCTGGCTGCAACGGTTGCGTATAAGAAAAGGCTAGGTGCCTTCTATGGGATATCTCCGTTTGTTATGCCTAGTAGAATGGCCTTGGGTTTGGGGGAAAATGTGAATTTAAATATCTTTTTAAATTCTATATAAATCATTTCCCAGTATTCTCTGGCTTGTTTACATGACTACCACATGTGCATAAAAGTTCTTCTACCTCTTGACCCTTCCAGATTATCTTGGATCCCATTTTATACATTTCTACAAGTTTGCTGGGCGGCAAGTTCCACCTCCTTTGTAAGTTTTCCTTGATAATGAACATATGTGTTAAAACTCATTGCCAAAATGTGTACCATAAATTCACACTAAAATGCTGGTGAATTTTCATGAGGGTTTTTAAAAAACAAAACATGAATTGATGCAGATATGTGGAGAACTGAATTTAAGAATGGAAAAATGGAAAATGGAAAGAATCACAACTGACAGAACCATTTATCCCAAGTGTGGGGGGATATGTGTGAATGCAACTTCTGAGTCATATAGACCCAATTTGTTAGAACAATGCTGCCATCTAAGCCATTCTCTACATAGAAGAAGTCAGACTTTCATATTTCCATTGCCATTAAAAACACACACACTTTCAAGTCCCATGGCTACTTGTGCATCCTTGCTCCCTGACCCTTAGCACGCAGCACCTCTCCTGGGGAAGACTGTGGTTTAATTGTGCCATCCAGCACCAAGCAGCAGAATAGAAATGAGCAGATCAAGAGCAAATAATCAATTATCAGTATGCAGATACTACAGAAGTCTTGCTGCATTAGCAGCATATTTCTCCGTGTCCAAACTCTTCCTTTGTTCTGGCTTCTTTTTTCAGTCCTGTAATTGATGGATATTTTTATCCTTACCCTTGACAAATACTGCCATTATTCATTATTTAAAAAGCAGCCACAAAGGAACTTGACTTTGCTGGAGGAAGTA